GTAAGAATCCCATCCACTCCGGTCTTGTGCTTGGGGAACGGGCCGGTAATGTCCATGGCAATCGCTTCCCTTCCCCTCAACGAGACTGGCAATGGTCGTAACTCGCCGTACGGACGATGGTTGCGGGATTTGCAGCGTCGGCAAACCTCGCATGACTCGCAATAGCGCGTGACGTCACCGAGAAGGCCGGGCCACCAAAATCGCTGGCGAAGTCGACCAATCGTGCGATTGACTCCAAAGTGTCTGGTGGCGGGAGCATCGTGGAACTCGCCAAGAAGCCGTGTACGCAAGTGAGGATCACTTGGTACGCAAAGAAGGTCCTTCCCCCGCATGTGGACAAGCAAGTACCCCTCTTGGATCCGGTAGTGAGAAGGAGCCGGAGTAGGAGAGGAGCAATTTGCGTACTCGTCGCGAAACTCGGGGTCGGCTTGGTAGCCGCGGATGAAACTGTTCCGCAGGTCGTCATCGATCTCGAAGGTTGAGTAGACCGCGGTACAATGATCCGGACGCCGTGAAAGAGCATCCGCAAAATGGTTCGACTTCCCGGGAATGTGATCGGGAAAGAAGTCGAACTGGTCGATGAAAGCCATCCATCGAGCGATGGTGCTGTTGACGGTGTCTTGGGTCTTGTAGAAGACCAACGGATTGTTGTCCGTCACCCAGCGAAATTGGCTTCGACCAAGGAGGAAGTGCCGCCACCGCTTGAGCACGTGGACGAAGGCGAGGAGCTCCTTCTTGTGTGCATCGTCAATGGAATGCACGAGTGGCACTTTCTTGCTGAAGTACTCGACCGGGTGCCAGTTCACACCATCATGTTGCTCGAGGACTGCACCAATGCCATAGCCTGACGCATCCGTAGTGACACGTGTAGGCGCGAGCGGGTCGTATATCCGCAAGACCTCCGCAGACAATAGCGCGGCTTTGAGAGCGAGGAATGATCCCCGCGCCTCCTCTCCAAAGTCAAACGGCCGATCCTCGCACTGAAGCTTGTTCAAGTGGGCCGCGATCTTGGAGTAGCCTTTGATGAAGCGCTGATAGTACCCGGTAAGACCGAGGAACGAGCGAACATCCGTGACGTTCCGAGGCTCCGGCCACTCTTGGACGGCCTGAATCTTGTCCGATAACGGACTGATGCCCTCCGGTGTGACAAAATGGCCCAAGTATTCCAGCTCCTGCCGGACAAATTCGCACTTGTCGCGGTTGGCCTTGTACTTGGCACGGCGAAGCGTCTCCAACACTTGTCGAAGATGTCCAAGATGATCCTCCAATGTCCGGCTGTAGACGAGAATATCGTCTAAGTAGACCCGCACGAACTGGTCCAACATTGCACGGAACTCGTTGGTCATCGCCGCCTGGAATGTCGTTGGGGCGTTGGTGAGGCCAAAAGGCATGACCACCCACTCAAAATGCCCGTACTGCGTCTTGAGTGCGGTTTTGTACCAATCATTCGGTTGAATCGAGATTTGATGATATCCTGATTTCAAATCGAGCTTGGAAAAATACTTCGCACCGCCCAGCCGCTCGAGAAGATCGTCGATGCGAGGAAGAGGCCCCGCATTCTTGACGGTTTGCGTGTTGAGCTTGCGGTAGTCGATRCACAATCGTAGATCCTTGTTCTTCTTCCTGACGAAGAGAACTGGTGCTCCATATGAGGAGCTACTCGGGCGGATCCAGCCCTTGGCCAACAAATCATCGAGTTGTGCGCGGAGTACCTCAAGCTTCTCCTCGCTCATCCAATAGATGCAACCTTTCGGCGGCAYGGCACCGGCCTCAAGAATGATCTCGTGAGAGATCGGCCGACCCGGCACCACACCGGTAGGTGACTCGAAGATGTCGGCGAACTCGTCCAGCAACCGTACCACACGGGGGTCCGAAGACAAGTCCGTGGGTGAAGAGTCGGCCACCGCGACGGTCCGTAGGAAACATATGTCAATCTCCTCGGGCTGCTCGTAAGCACAAGTTGCCCGAAATGATTTGGCTGTTACCACTTGGCACCGGATCGAAGAGTGCGGTAGAGGAATCGTACACGCCACTTTCGCACCGAAGGCGTTGCGAACGCTAAGAGTCCGCCGACGCACTTGCAAGCCAAGGCATTCCCAGAATGATGTCGAAGTCCGTGTCGAGAATATCGAATGTCACCGGTTCGCATGCATGAGGTGCGAAGTAGATCGGTACGGCCTCGATGTAACGGTCGAGAAGTTGCTGTGTCTTACCATCCGCCAACTTGATCGCCGTTGGGTTTGCCTTTCTCCGAACTTGTGCGCCAAGGCCAACTTTTTGCATAAAAGACTGGCTCATGAAGTTGCGAGTCGCGCCGCTATCCAACAGAGCGTTGCAGGACGCCTGTCCAACCTGGATGCGGACATACATGAGCGGTGCGTTGTTGTTATCGTACCGCTGCGTGCGAAACTCGCGGGCCATCTTGNCCAACCTGGATGCGGACATACATGAGCGGTGCGTTGTTGTTATCGTACCGCTGCGTGCGAAACTCGCGGGCCATCTTGGTAGTATATGCCAGGATGTCCCCCACCGCGACTTCGTCATCCGTCGGCGAAGTTGGTGGTGCATAGAAGGAAAGGTAAGTGTGGAGATGAGCGCTAAGTGCTGCGCATTGCGGTCCCGGCAAACAGCCTGTGGTCGGGAGAGGAAGCCATGCAAAGTCCTCAGACGTGAGCGGGTCCAATGCCTCTACATTGAACTCGCGCGCCGAATCCCGTGACGAACCACTTGAAGAGGATCTGTCGCTGTTGCCTGACGGAGAAGAAACCGCACACACTCCTTGTCCTTGAGCTTGAGTACCCAGCGTTGGAACAAGCCGGCCAGCATAGTCCTCAAAAGAAAGTAGAAGTGGAGGACTGTCGACTTCCGCGTGCGCCTCGGAATGAAGGCTGGTCACTCGCGAAGAAACCAGTTCCGAAGGCGTCAAGAGTGTCGTCGCATCACTCTCGGCGGTGCTCAGTTTCCCTGTCGAACCTTGCCCTTCAGTGGGCAAACCGACGTCAGATGAAGATCGTTGTTGCACCACAGGCAATAATGGAATCTCTCGCGCGCCTTGTAGGCGGACTCGGAGATGCCGTACGGGGTCCATGGGCTTGTCTGAGCTGCTGCACCGGGCCCGGGGCTAGAAACGATGTGTGTCTTCGGCTTGCCGCGACCTCGGCCTCTGCCGGGGCGGCCACCTTCCCGGGCGGCTGCAAATCTGTCTCCTTCATTGGCAGACACAACCTCGCTGGATTGGTCTAACGGCGCTGCCGCTGCGACCACGGCCACTCGTGGCCGATGCTGGTTCCCGCTCGGGCCTGCCGCAGATGAACGGAGGTTCTTGGCCTCCTTGTTCGTAACGATGATCTGCGCAGCCTTGTCGAATAATTCCGCCGTCGTCGTGAAGGTGTCCTCGACATGCGTCAGGGCATTGCTCAATGCCGGACATGACCTTGAGATGAAATAGTGGCGGATGGCCTTGAAGCCCATCTGGATGTTTGGGACTGACGTCAAGCGTTGGTACTCGGCGATCCAGTCCGTACTTGGCAGCGAGCCTTGCTCGAAGACCATAAGCTTGTCCATGACTTTGATCTCTGGCGGCTCCACCTGGAACCGCTTGTGCCACGCCGCCTTCAGATCATCCCAGTTGATCATGGTGTGCAAGTCCGCTGCTACCACTCCGTACGTGGACAACAAGTTGTCCAACCACGCCTGACACGCGCCCCTGAGCGAGAGTACAAGTAAGCGTGGTGCTTGTTTTCCTTGACGTTGTGGAGCTGCAGCGTGAGCTCGAACTTGCGAGACCATGGAATTGGATCTGTCTTGATTGAGTCGTGGAAGATCTCCTGCCCATCGAACTTAGGAGCTGTCTCGCGTGGCTCCGGACTCGAGGTAGTGGCGGTAGTGCAGATCCGCAGCTGCAATTGTTGCATCGCGGTCTGCTGTAACTGTGTGCCATCCTGGAGGGAGCCGACGCGCATCTCCAAYGCGGTGAGGCGGTCGGCAGTGTTGGAAGAGCCTGCATCGGCGGCGGCAACTGGTCGCTGCTCCACCCGCTGAAGGCGGTCTTGGAGATGAGCTACCGAGTTGTCGAGAGCAAGGATCTCCGCCTGCTGTGTAATGCAGGTTGC